TTTTTAAATTATTTGGTGCATTTTAAATGTATTTATTTATTTAAAGGTTCATTTATCTATTTCTGCTTTTATTTCTAATGATGTAAGTTTCAGTCCTCCATACTGCAGAACTTGGAAGAGGTAGTTCAGTGACTGAATCAGGTGTGTTGGAGCAGGGAAAAATGTAAAACATGTAGGACTGCAGCCCTTGAGGACCATGATTGCCCACCCCTGACCTAGAGGTACAAAAACTTTCAACACCTTTGTAGTATTTTTTTTTTTTGCTTGCATCAGCAAGTTGTACACATGTGACCTATCACATAAAGGATTAGAGAGGAGATTAGGAGTGTAGGGGATTAGACAGCTATATTGTATTGGTTGAAGAATTTGGGATAATTGTATTTGTTGTAAAAGAAATACTTTCTCTGTGGGTCCCCTGTAAGAAATGTGTTCTGAAGTGTTTTTTCTGAGTTGTACCAACTAACCATGGTTTAGAGCAGGAAAGCTAAATTTTTCTTTCAAATGACCTCTAGAAACCCTCATTAGAATACATAAAAATAAGATTCAGAGTAATTTTCAAGGTTTCTTATGATGATTTAGGTACCAAAATTTAGCTTAAAAAGTCAGGAATCTGAATAATTTCATTTGACAAAATATGACCTAATCCCTGATTTGATGTGATGGGTCCAMTATATTTCCCATTTTTAACCAAGGCCTTTGCTTATGGTTTTTCCTCCCATAAAACCAAAAGAAAAGCACGGCTTCTGCTCTGGAAATATCCATCATACACAAAGCATTGACCCTGTTTTTCAATCAGTTTTTCTTTCCTCTGAGTATGCAATGCCTCGCACCAAGAGAGAAAATCTGCGCCAGCAGAGCTGCCTTCCTCTTTTTTGGCTCTGACCAAGGTCATCTTCAATATCTTTTGGTTCTTTGAAATGACACAAAGGTGTCCTTCTTCTAGGTGTTACGCAAGAGTCTTTTTCAGTGAATGCCAGTAGACAAGCACAGGTGGGTGACTTTGAATGGCTGCAGATAAGATCTCTGTTCAGGCGTGGATGTTTGCAGTTGAATACCACCAGAATGAGCATGGGTTTATGGTTTGGACAAAGAGTCAGAGMGGAGGGAAATGTTCAAAAATGAACCCTGGAGAGAGAGAGGGGAAAAAAGATTTATATTCCAGAAAAGATGCATATCTTTCCAATTGAAAATGGTTCAACAGATTTTAAGCCCAGCCTCCGTGTGACTGATACTCACATCACATGGCTATCGTTGACACCTAATTAACACTTATTGTTAACAGGGGGTGGAGTGATACTGGCAATGGCTGCGTTGTAGGAGGGGGACAACTGAAAACGGAGGCCTCCACCTCTGTTTAATGATGGACGGTCTTTCTTCACAAAATGGCTTCTTTTACTCCTCTCTCAAACCAACGTTCCTCTCTATCAAGAATGAGAACATCCTCATCTCTGAAAGAGTGACCGCTGGCCTGTAAATGAGTGAAAACTGCAGAGTTCTGGCCATTAGATGTAGCTCGTCTGTGTTGGGACATTCTTTTGAACAGTGGCTGCTTTGTTTCCCCGATGTATAACTGGTCGCAGTCCTCCTGGCACTTAACAGCATATACAACATTGCTCTGTTTGTGCCGGGGCACCGGATCTTTGGGGTGAACCAGCCTTTGCCGTAATGTGTTTTGGGGTTTGAAAGCCACTGGGACATCATGTTTAGAAAATAAACGTCTCAGCCTGAATTTTGCCTGAAACTCTCAGACTGAAGAAGTCTCTTGGAGGAGAGACGAAACGTTTCATTAGAGAAGAACCTGTCCAGAAGACCTATACAATTTTTTTCTTTTTGATTTTTTATCTGGGTTACTGAGATGCATCAGGACATTCAAYAGATTTGTTTTTGAGGCAAAACTCTGCTTTAAAAGATCTAAATGTACTGATGTACATCGATAGCTTAAAGTAGGGCTTTAAGGGAAATAGGTATAGGGGGTCAAATCTATAGCCACATTGCAATGGCACGGTCTGTAGACACTGGATTAAAAAGAAACATACATTTAATCACGAAAACCGTGTATTCATAAATCTGACTYCGATATCTCCATTACAAAGAGATATGGCTGCTCAAAATGATCAGAACAAGCCAAAATYATCATCCCTCCTCCACCGTGCTGAACAGTTGATATGAGGCTWTCTTGTCCATCCAGTAAGCTTAAACTCTAGTTTCCCAACTGTGGTTGTGCAAAGATCAATTTTAACAGAAGCCCATATTAAAAAGATGGAAGCCTGTCTGTTGCAGGTGGTAAATTACCTGTTTTATCCCCTTCTGTCTTTCAGGAATGTCCYAGCGGAGTCGTTAATGAAGATACCTTTAAAGACATCTACGCACAGTTCTTTCCACAAGGAGGTATGTGCCCACGCCTCCACTTCCTCCAGTTCTGCTTCCTAAGCACTTCTCGTTTCCTCTGCGACCCGAACAGGCTAGAAYGGCACCAGGTTACTTTAATTTAACCTTGGATCAAAGCAAATGCTKTGACAGAGCGAGAAAAGTAGTTTGTCTTTATGCAGCCTTGATTTTCTCAGTGTTGGCTTTTATCATTATGCAACAAATCTACTGAAGGACAGAGCAGTAAAAGCATTGGGAGGCTTTGATTTATCCACTCAGAGAAGAAAGGCAGACCGGTAAACATAATGGCACCCCCCCACACACACAGGAAATGTTAATAAAAGTCTCCTCTCCGAGCATGTTTTTTCTTCTCTTTCATCAAGAGCCTTGTTTCTTTGAAGTTGCACTAAACAGCGACAAGAAAGGGAAAAACTTTGCTTTGAACCATTTTCTTGTTTGCAGTAGGTGTTACAGCTGGTGTTGGACTGTAATGGTCACGGATGGGTTTTTTTGTTTTGTTTTGTTTTTTTTAACTTCTTGTTTGTTTTCCTCGTAGATGCTTCGACATACGCACACTTCCTGTTCAATGCATTTGACACGGATCACAATGGTTCCGTGAGTTTCGAGGTGAGCCAAGTTTGAAGGGATAAGGAGTTATACAACGGGATGTAAAATTTGGGGAGTTGTTACTATTTTGTTGCTTTACAAACTGGAATTTAAATGCACTTTTTTAAAATTAGTCATTAGTAATGGGCCTACACAAAATCCTCCATATTCTTCTTCTTTTAGCTACCTCCATGAATACCTCCTTTTCATGTACCTTATTTCTTGTTTGTAGTACAATAACACTCATTCCCAAAAACATTCATGTTTAAGCTTTCTATTAAAAATGAGATCTTTGACCTCAAAGGGATTTGCCTGGTTAAATAAATGTTAATAAACATAAATGTTGTACMTTTGAAGTTACTGTACAGTATAGGTGTCCTGGTACTTGTTTTTCTCCAACCGAGTATGACTGTACTTCCGTTTTTGGTACTCKCTGATACGGAGTACCAATACTAAGTACTTACTGAGTTGGAACCTAAACGTTACACAGTGACTAAACATTTATTTTATTTAGAACAAAGTTGCTCTCCTTTCTTGTCAAATATTCAGCACGATTTATACTGCTGCTACATTTCAAAACATAAAAATTTGATTTTCTTTCAACTTGTATACATTTTTTAAGCATGGAGCTGATGAACTTTTCATTTGAAATGTAAACGGCAATATAATTAATAGAGTATTTATTAAAACTGGTATTGATATTTGTAACGGGCATATGTAAATTAAAAGATAGACTTTYGAAAATCCTTTTAAATTCCATGTTGTGAGGCAAAAAAAACAATGTGTTATTTTATATGTTGCTACAACAGGGGCGGTTCTAGGGGCGGGGCCACAKGGGCAATGGCCCCCTGAAGTGCCCCTGGCCTGTCACTCATCTGTCCTTTGCCCAAGAGTGATGATGCTGGGTGCAGTTYCATGTCTAAACACTAGAGGCGCTAATGAACCAAATAGAAAAGTCCAGWATGAATCAAGCTGACAGAAGTRTTTTTGKTTTCTTAAAATTTGAAAAATCYTGTAGAAAAAATATTTTAACTCACAAATGTTGGCTGGATTATCTCAAATGTTGTGTGTTTGAGAGTATTTTATCTATGTACTGTAAAATGCATGTAAAATTGGTAAGGAGAATTTACAGTGCAAGCTGTTTTAAAATTACATTACAAGTGTTTAAATGYRTGACTGGTAAATWCATCATACCAAAACCAGCRATTTGTGTGCAAGGACGCTRAATRAATACTTGGCYYCTCTATGAATRWTGTGGCCCCTTGATGGCCCYTTACTCAGAAAAATCCTGGATCCRCCACTGTTCTACAAAGATGACGAGTGGGGGAGRAAAAAAACAGAAAATGTTGATTGGAAACATCAGAAATGTCTAAAGTAAAACCACAAACCGATGCTGCACACTGCTGAGGGCACAACGTGCAGATCCAGTTTGTTTTTTTCTCTTCACCAAGCTSTTTTGYGATGCCAGCAACATTTTATTAATATTTATGAAGGACACATATTTGCTTATTAGGACAGAGAAGCTGTCATTCCGCCAAACTAAAGCCCCCTGAGTTTATATGTCCACTGTGTTGAAAAACATGTGGATTCCCAGAGGGCCTGCACAGAATATGAGCTTKCAAATCATTTGAATAATGAAGTATTTTTGATTTATAGCGCCTCCACTTTTGCTGTTTCATCACTCRTCTCTAATTAATATCCAACATAATACTGTCTGCTTGCAGAAATGCCGACGCATGAAGGATGCTTTTGTTTATCTCCTGGGTTTTTGTTTTTGTTATGTTTTTTTTTTCTTACTCTTGTTTACTGAGGTGTAGTTTTTCTTCAGTGTGATGTGGTGTTCAAGCGTAAATGAACTGTTTGTGTTACAGGACTTTGTTATGGGGCTTTCAATCCTCCTGCGAGGCACGGTGCAGGAAAAACTCATCTGGGCRTTCAACCTTTATGATATCAATAAAGATGGATACATCACTAAAGAGGTGCAGTGTGTCTAATTAACTGTCTGTAATGGAAGACTACAAAACTGACYGAATGTTGTTTTGCAGAACATTGGATCAAAACCTTGCTTTTACCTTAAACTTATTTACCTTTTGAACAAAAAACCAGGTAGTTTCTCATATATTCTGGTTGTTCTGTACGAGTTCTTTATGCTAAAATCCACTCAAAACGTTCAGATTTGTAACCGAACTGGACTTTCTGAGCTGAGTCTTTTACAAGCGAGTGTACTATAAAGGACCAATTAGCTCCACAGCTGAGGCTCCTGGGAATGACCTTTTAGTTTGGAAATATTTGGTTACAAATGAAAGCTTTTGGTCGGTGTGATCCGTGTTCTGGCTCAAGATGAAACATTTAGCSCAACGGTTCGAACTCACCCAGGAGTTTAATCAGCATTTAGAAAACTGCAGGGATGTTGACTCAGACTGAAATCTCTCATCAAGCACTAAGAGGAATATTTGTTTTAATTAATGATGAAAATGCCAGCTCTTCATTTGGTGTAATCAAGAACCCTCACCCTCAAGCTAGGTGATTTTATAATGAGCTACGGTGCTCCAAAGTTTTAAACCGCTCTTAGTTTCTTTATTTTTTGTTTCCAAAGAGACAGATCGTTTTGTGTTATTTCAAAGTAGCCTTGATCAGTGAGTGTTTCTAAAGCGCTTTCAGACTYTCTCTTTGGACTTTGATTTTACACATTTTTGTCCTGTTATTGTATTACAAAGCAAAATAATTAGTTTGTGCTTTAAAAAAAAGTTTGGAGGACAAAAGCAGACAGTATGTGAAAGTCTTAACTTTAGAAAACAAAAATGAAATTCAGYAAAGACCTGGTTCATTTGTCGTATTTAGATATGGCAAGTTTTTGGCTAATAATTCTCTACTAATCACCTTTTGAGGCTAAAATACTTTTTGTATTTGTTAATCTGTGTTATCTCATTTTTTAAGCCAACTAAAATACAAGCCCTAAAATATGGAGAAAGA